TGGTGATCGAGCCAACTATAAAAGGGAAAGTGATAATGGATACTTACTTTAAGAATTTCTTTACCAAATCTCTATAGGACAATATCTTGACCGAATGTCACTATTATTACTTATATGACTTATGCATTTACTGATTGGCTTAATCAAGTTTTTGGTACCATTATCGAGGATTAAGAGTTAAGAGTCTTAAGCTAATATCATCATTTATCATATTCTTTTATAGATTGGTTCACCTTTTTAGTTTACATAGCCTAGGATAGTTGCTTAGTTTACATAGCCCCACTATAGATAGTTTACACGTAACTATTATATTTGTGTTTAGGATTTATTTTTCTTTTCATGTGGGAGTATAATTCTTATGAGGTAACTAAGTACCATATGGACCATGCTAGACCTTATTATTTTTTATGACTAACTAGGATCATGGCCTAATGAGAAAAACTAAGCTAAAAGAGAGTCGACTTTAAAACTTTATTCAAAACTTTAGACTTTCTAGAAAATCAAGTAGAAGCAATTAAGGCTAGATATGATCCTAAACCTACTTTTATCCATAACTTTCTAAGTCAATATGATAATGGTCAAATGTATAGTAATAGGTGTCCGTATGACTAATACTCTTAATCTTACATAAACACCTACATTATTAAAACTTGATAGGGTTACCCTAAGAACATGTAGGACATTAGTTTTTGGCATTCTTTTAGTTCACCACCTCAGTAAACCCCAACTTATTTTAATGAGCATTTACTTCTATAATACCTTATATGACCCAACATTCTTTACCATCACTACAAGTTTTTCAAATGCCACGCTATTTTCCACCATAACAATATTTTTCTTCACCATAATACCATGCCTTTTCACAACACTTTTCATCCACACCATATTCACTGCCACCTCTTCCATAAGAAAAAAAAAATCCCTTAATGAGATACTTTTTAAAAGGTGTCAAACTATAGAAAAACTCTTCTAAGACCAATAAGAAGTAGCCATTAGGGCTTTTGGGCACTTTGTTTAAAATACACATACTTAAACACTTAGACTCGAGATTCCATTATTAACACTATAAAGTCAAAACCTAAATGGTTAGATAAAAAAAAATGCACCTTGAGGGATCATTATAAGAGGAGAAATTAGATATGGATTAATGATGATAAAGAATAGATTGTGGTGAATTCACAATAATTTATAAAAGTTGTAATTGAGGAAGAAGACACATTTGTGGCTAGGAAATTGATGAGAAAAATCATTTAGGGAAGTTGAAAAGAAGGACAACATTCAAGAAGAAGTTGATGTTAATATTCCATTCATGCCATTTTTCAAGTTCTTTTATGATCACTTACTTAATTGTGTAAAGATGCACAAGGTGGATAGATGTGTTAATAAGGCAAGCTTACTAGAGAGTTCACTTAAGTCTTTAGACATATTCTTTCTTGAATCTAGTATCAAGCTTAAGAATGAAGAGAAACTTATTAGGAAAGAATTTACTTGTTTAATAGCATCTCTATTCATTAACCCTATGCTCGAAGCTATAGACCCCTCGTTCTTAAAGCTTTTTTTAGATAAACCATCTATGGAGGGAAAAGTGAATGATATGAATTTTAAAGAGGATGGTTTAATTTTTTATCTTGAGTTATATGAAGGTCTTAGCATTAGTCTTAATCAACAAGATTTTGAATTTCATAGTTCGCCTATGCTATTTCCTTAATTATTTAAGGTTTCATTATATGATGATTTGGAAATACATGTGATTGAAAACCAACTATTAGACAACATTGATGAGCCTAGTAAAAAAGACAATGATAAAATAAAGAAAATTTTAAAAACAATGCTAAAAGTTGATAATATAGAGGGTTTAGATGATGATAGTATAGAGAGATCTTTTAGTTACTTAGAAGTTTCCTTAACCTTTGATTTTCAACTTGATTTCTTTGACTTCTCATCCTTTATGCTTACTAAACCTATACCATTTATGGAAAAATTTTTCATCTTAAAGCCTAAACCCATATTCTCTATGGTGGTACCTCATTAATTGGTACTGAAGTCAATGACCACCTCTATTGGTCCATATTGCAATATACTTAAATTATTCATAGAAGTGGGTTACAAATCTATATTTAAACACTGACGTCATTTAGAATTTACCAGTACATATTTGGTGCAAAAAAAGAGAATGAAATAGGTAGATTCGAGAAGGAAGTGTGGAGTAATTTTCTAACACTTGTGAAAGTCAAGTTTTTGACTTTAAATAAAGTATCTCTTGAAAAGCAACCTAGGCTTTACATTTCATCTTTTATTCACTTGCTTTTTTTTTTTTAGCTTTTGTTTTCCTTGTACATATTGATGTAGTTCTTTATGTAGTTATTTCCTTATCTTATAGGTTGAATGAAAGCTTAAAGCTAGAAGTATTAATTCGACCAAGCATTGATGGAGGATTCGGTCACCATACCTCTATGTTGATAGGGGAGTTACTTTATTCCTCTATTTTGTGCTTTATTTCTTTATAATTGCACATTAGGAAAATGTGTTATTTAAGTTTGGGGGTATGGAAAATTTGCTTAAAATTTCAAAATTTTTTCAAATTTTCCTTGAGTTTTGCCTTAAATTTGAGTTTGACTAGTGGTAGCTTGAATCATTAGTATGCTTTTTTTTATTAGTTCTTTATTGAGAATGAATATAGTTTTAGGAAAAGATTGAATATTGTGAGAAATATGAGATGATGGTTAGCTTTAGTGAATTCTTGAATATGGTTTTCATTTGTAAATTGATACTTTGATCATTGAATTATATTTTTTATCTAGCATTGATTATGTGACCATGAAATATATTTTTTCTCATTGATCTTTAAAATTGTATTTCATGTTCTATAATTTATTTTGATCATTTCTTGAGGTAAAATCCTAAATGACATATGATAGGGAAATGATATAAGCTATTGGATTGTTTGAGCCTTTCAAGCCATCCTTGATCTAATATTTACATAGTCACCCCATTTGAGAATTATGATATCTTTTTCTTTGTTTTGAAATCATTTACAAGCTCATAGCCTTGATTTATATATTTCCTATCTTTTTGGTACCTTGCCATATATGCATTAGGGCATTTATGCATTTATTTGTAAGCTATGCATTATTAAGGAGGAAAGGTAAAGCTTGGAAAAGAATAAAAAATAATAGAAAAAGAATAGAAAAAAAAAGTCAAGCTAGCTTGCAAATGAAAAGTAAAAAAAAGAGAAGAAAAAGTTGTGAAAAAAAAAAGAAAAAGCAAAAACAATAAAGTGGTGAAAAAGCAAAGAAAAGAAGAAAAGGAAGAAAAGTAGGCAAAATCAAAGTTTAAGGAGAGATTCTTTAGTCAAGCTTATCTTTCTTACTTTGGAAACTCAATTATGAATGATCCTAGACAAGTAATGCATTGTTAGGGTACTTAAGCCTAAATTGACTTTTACCATACCTTGACTCTAGCCTTACATTATAAGCTTATGAAAGTCTTAAATAATCCTTAGTCATGTGTTTATCTACAATAGTGAAAAGAGATGTGATAAGCAAACTTATGGAACTTGACCACACTTTATTGATCTTTTTATTGAAGTTTCATGTTTTCCATAACTTTACTAGATTTCATGTAAAGATATGTGAAAGCTGTTGCTTACTTATGGAACCATAGTTAGGAATGATCTTAACTTAAGTTAATTCTTATACATTAGCACTTGTTCATGATTTTGTTTCAATTATATTCATTGATCAAACCATGAGGCTTTCATGTTGAATTAAGCATTGAGAATATATGTTGATTCTTGCTCAATCTTGTTTTGATTGAGGACAAACAAAAACTTAAGTTAAAAGGTTTGATTGCACTAAAATTTTAGTATTTTTGTGCTCATTTTCAGTGCAATTTTCTTTATATTTTGCTTGTTCTTTAAAATGTTTGGCAAAAATACTCCTAAATGCATATTTTCTCATATGTAGATAAAAATAAAGAAAATGAGAAATTTGGACAATTTGGATACATTTTGAAAAATTTTTTTGTGCAAATTGTGAAAATGGTCTAAATTAGTGTCATTGAGTTATATTGCTTTCAAGGGAGTTTTCTTGAACCTTTCTTCCATGATTTTTTTTAACATTATTCCCAGCATTTTTCTAGTGATTTATTGTTAAATTTGCTTGTGTAATACTTGAATTTTTTATAGCAAAAGTGAAGAACAATTCAGGTAAGAAGCTGCAACAAGGAAAAGGAAAGAAAGCTACATTGCCATAACTTCATATGAGCTTGCATTTGATGCCAAGTTAGGGATTCAAATGAGGACTTAAAGATTGTTGCGCTGGCATTTTGAAGAACTATCATTGGTTATAAAATGAAATTTTTAGGTTAGCAAAAATGCATGAAGGAAGTTTGCAACAAATGAAGAAACTTAGGTGTCAAAACCAACTGTGTAATCAAGTGAGGAAAGAGGAAAGAAGTCTTTAGAAGACCATTTCATCTTAGATATTTTGAAGGGATTTTTTGGAGTTAAATAGGATGAGAGCTAGAATTTTGGGAGATGTTATATTAGGATATAATTTTTTTTTTCATTTAGTCTTTTGCATTTTCTTTCTTATAGTTTTATTTTCCTTCTTGTCAAATAGCCTTATATTTCAATTTTCCTTATTGAATTTGATTGCCAATTTGCATTTCCTGAAGTGGTTTTCAATTTTTTTTTAAATTATCGCAATGAATTTTGTGATTTCTCTTAATTTCATACTTAAATTCCTTCAATTTTTTGTTAATCTCAATTCTATTTTCAAATTCCACCTTTTTTTAGTTTTTTAATTGAAACTTTTTGATTTCTAACTCAATTTTACTCCATTTTCTCTTAGTTTCTTAATTTATTAAGCGATAACATAGTAAAATTTTATATTCAAATTTATTTTCATTTGTTTTAATTAATTTTTGTAAGTAACAATTAAAATTTGAAAAAGGTGCAATTACTAAAAGAAAAATGAGTTTTAGTGAGAAATTTATTGAGAATCGTATGTCTAACTTTCACTAAAAATTTCATTTTAATGAGATTTACTTGTAACCCTCGTTAAAAGTAATTTTTAGTGTAAACTTAGTTTTGATCCTCGCAAATTGTTCTTTATACATGAAATAAATTTTCTACAACTAAAAACGGCACCCCGACCTCCCTAAAAACGCCACAAAAAACGCACACCAAAACACCTCACTCTCTAGGCGGCTACCTGCCAGCCTTTGCTTCTGTCTTCACGTAACCTTAGGTACCAACCTTCCTACCTCTCCGATGGCAACCACTGAGAAAACTTATCACCATCACCACCACCACTATAGCCTCCGTCGCTAATACATCGGCAGATCCAAGCTCTAAGAATACCATGTACCGCGCCCGCCTTTCACGAGTCAGTCCGATCCTCGTAGCACTGATACTCCTGCTTCAGAGGTATCTCGAAAGGATAGCGAAAGTTCGAAGACACCGGGACTACTGTGGGCTCGGTAGCAGGGGATAGCAGCGGTCCCGTTAACGATACCCAAAAGAAGATTCACCGAACTGAGCGGTTCGACGTAGTTGTCAAATTGTCTGAGCAAGAGAAGCGTAATTCTAGGGCTGAGAGGTAACAGCATTTATTTTTCCCTATTTTCTTTGCGTAATATTTCGAGGTTTATTGGGTTTTTAAGGTTTTTAGGGTTTTATACCTAATCGATGAGAATTTCTGAAAAATAGAGAAGAAATTGTTTTTTTTTTTATTTTGATTTATTCCAGAAAATGACTGTTCTGATACTTTCCTTAAATGCCATGTTTGATTCTTGATGCGCTGAGAAGCATGGACTAATGCTCTTGATATATTTACAGTTTTAAGTGGTCTGAGTAAGGTGAAATACAATCTGGATGCGGTATATGCATTTAGTTGCTTTGTATCAAAACTGATGGTAATAGTATTCGAGGTTTGAAGCTATATAGTATCATATTTAATGCTTTATAATTATGGTAAGAACTATGTTATGGTTTGTTTAAGATTTGGCTTTTACACTAAGCTATTATGCATCTTGTTAAGTCTGATTCTTCCCTTTCTAATTAGAGAAGTGGCTGGGGATTGTTATGACTAGCATAACTTTCCTTCTTACTATCTGGTGGCTAATTGATAATTTTATGCGAAATTTTGCTAGCAGAAATGGGTTGCATGCTTGATATAATTTAGATTTTCTTTCAGATCAGTGTGGTGCTTATCGGTGTTTGTTTGCATTATCGCCTCTGCCTAGCATGTTCATTCATCTTATAAGGAAATACATTTCTGAATTATTATCTTCTGCAGATGTGGATCTTTGACACAAATGATGGAGACCCTCGTCTCCTACAGTTTCAAAGTTGACGCAGTGCTCCTCCACTTTGCATTAGGTAATAGCACTCCCATTAATTTTAGGCATGCATAACATTCTGTATATTTATTTCCTCCTTAATTTATTTAACAAGTAAAAGTGTATTAGAATGTCATAAACCTAAACTTGAATGTCATATAAACTTTTTGTCTGATGCTAAGTACTTTTTACCCATGCATGACCTGATAAAATCCTTTATTTATCTACTCTGCCATTTATAGATCCCTGGGTACACATTACTCATTATTTTGCTCTTATTCTCATTCTCCATCCATGAAATTCTGTATTAACGTGCTAATTCACAATTTACATAATTTTCTAATTTGTTGGTAAACTGTCAAATTTGTTGTGATCAGGATTAGCAGAGCTGAGAGCTGTCTCAAGGTCACATATCTAAGCGAGCCAAGAAATTAAGAATGAAGGTATGGTTGGGGTGACACTTCTTACTTGGCTGACTTAGTTAGCATGAGTATACCTAAATGATATATCTGAATATAGTTTACTAATTCTGTAAATGTTGTAGTTTTTGTTTATTTATTGAATTCTTGTGTTCAGCTTCTTAATTTCGTATTTTCAATTTTGGGAGGAGGAACTAAAATTAAAGCCAGTTATTGCATTTGATTGTGGTACTAGCTTCCGCTATATGCTCTTTTATCATTTAGAAACATGAGTCTGATTCTTATCCATTTTTTAGTGATGGAATGTATTTTGTTATGTCCAAGTGATCTAAGTCTGGCTCTCCCTCTCTTTATCTAATACATGGTTTCTTTTTGTTTTATCTGTTACCTTCAAAAATTTCCTGCCTATCTTAAATTCAGCAATTGTTGCTCTTTGGAAGTTTTGAAGCTTGGGTGTCCTAAACTAACTAGTCTCTTTCTCCAGGTATGGTTATGGTTTCTTTTTGTTTTATAGGTTGCTCTTTGGAAGTTTTGAAGATTGGCTGTCCTAGATGTTTAATGTTTGTCCTTTTTTTTTTTTTTGTATCGGTGTTCTGATGCTTTTCTATTGGGAGTGTATTGTTGAAGATGCTTTTGTGACTGATTTATTTGCAAATGCAAGATTTTATACAAGGAAGCACCGTAGGCGGTGAACCTTACTGGAATCTTGCATAATGCCTAACAATGGCTTTGTCATGTGGACTTTCTTTTTTGGCCTTAAGAATTTCCACCTACAAAGGAATCTGAAGGAGATGCTGTACTATCTAATAAAAGAAGCAGTAGTGTACTGTATGCTTGCAAGGATGAAGATATGGAATTTGAGTTGGACTCTAATGGTGTGATGGACATTGATGACATGCATGATGGAGATGCCGTTCTTTGACCAGTCAGATTTAGACGTTGAAGAGCCAGCAGGAAGAGGAATGAACATGCTTCTAGGTTACAAAAGTGTTTTTGAATATGAAAAATTGAAGAAAATTAGTGAATGTACTCATGGTATTGTTTATAGAGCTAAGGATAAGAAGACGGACAAAATTATGACTCAGAAGAAGGTAAAGATTATTGATCGGAAAGATTCTGAAAAATATGGTTTCCCTTTGACCTCACTAAGGGAAATTAACATTCTTGCATCTTTTCATAATGCTTCAGTTGTGAAAGTTAAAGAAGTCAATGCAGATGACCATGACAATGTTTACGTGGTTATTGTATATTTTGATTTTTTATGAGCTTTTGAATTTGATATTATCTTTCTTTGATATTCGCATTTCAGACCACCTGAACTTTTGCTTGGACCAAAGAAGTATTCAACAGTGGTTGACATGTGGTCTGTGGGCTGTATAATGGCTGAGTTGTTAGCTAAGGAATCATTCTTCAAAAGGACAAGCGAAATTGATCAGCTTAGCAAGGTTATTATTGTTTCTATTAAAATTATCTTCTTTCTTTTATCTTATTTCTATTTTTTTTTCCTGATGTGTGGTCCTGATGGTTTATTGTTGCAAATATTTGATACTCTTGGTACTGCAAGCGAGAAGATCTGGGCTGGTTTTTCTGAATTACCTGAGGCCAAAGCAAATTATTCTAAGCAACCGTAAGTATCTCTCTAGACAATTACTCTCCTCATCTAAATTACTTGTATTTGTTATGATTTTCTATATGTTCAGTATTTATTGATTACCTTGTCATGTGATCTGCAGTTTAATAATTAGGTGTGTTTGTTTTCTTCTTCCAGGTATAATTTGTTGCGCAGGAAGTTACCTGCAGTATCTTTCACAGGATCTCCAGTTCTCTCTGATGTTGGATTTGACCTGTTAAACAGGCTTTTTATATATGATCCTGAGAAAGTAAATATCTGTAAGTTAAGAACCCTAATTTGTTAACTTTATTTTATATGTATTGGTTTCTGCTCTGCTAATCAAAGTTTATGTTATCTATGCAGAGAATAACAAATGATGCTCTTAATCATGATTGGTACCATGAGCTTTCTCTACCAAAATCTAAAGAATTCTTGCCTACTTTCCCCCCAAAAATGTGAATGGAATAGGTGCCTGGCCTGATAATGAAAGCTTGACAGAACTGAAAAACATATTTAGGCTGCATTTTTAGTTTACAGTCAGCTTAGTTTTGTTCGAATGACTCCCCGGAATATACAAGGAACCTTGAAGGATCTGAATTCGATGCAGTAGTGGTACAAAAAATTTCTATCTACTGATTGTGTTATGGGACAGGCAGATTGGTAAATACAGCTGCTACATTTGAAATTTGTATGTGGATGCAAATAGGTTTTATGCTTGGGATAAATATTATTTATTTATGTTTTATTTGGAGTAAATATTACAAATATAAAATATATATATACATTTATAAACAAATTAAATAAAAGTATATAAGTATTTTTCGTGAGGCTTTGAAATTTTTTCACTAATTAATGTAAAGTGTTATGGTGAAGATTACAATTTTATAATTTTTAATAAAAGTAATTTTAAATGAGGATTAATAAAATCTTTCATTAAAAGTAAAAATTTTAAGGGTAGGTTAATAAAAGTCTTCGTTAAATGTAAAAGATAGAGTGAGAGTTAAAATTGATCTTTATTATAAGTTTTACATTTAGTGATAATTAAATTAACCTTCGTTAATTATTTACATAGTGAGGGTTTTATTTTATCTTTCATTATATATAATTAACAAGAAAATTTACAGCGAGAACTTGTAAGAGTCATATTGATCTTTGCTAAAAGAATGAGTGAGAATTATATGGATTTTTAGTGAAGGTTGGAACCCTTACTAAATGACTATGCTTGTAGTTAGCAAATTGTTTGTTTTTTTTTAATCTTTAATCTCTTACACTTACATGTTATCTTACTTATTTTTATTTTGTTGTAATTTAGTTCATGAATTTGACTACTGTTTGGATGAATTGTTCATTTACTGCTATGTTTTTCTTTGTTTTGCATAGATCTTGTGTAGCTAGTTCAATGAGCTAGTTTATATATATATATATATATATATATATATATATATATATTCTGTGATTTTCTTGTTAGATTTTGTAAGAAACTTCTTGTTGAATCTAGTTTTAGGTCAACTTTAGTTCATTCATTCTAGAGAATTGTAGATCTAATTTTTTCTTTCATAAAATGTTAGTTTTTAGCTTACAAAATCTGTTTTGGCTTCCACTTTCTTTTGTTGAATCTTGCAATTTTTCTTTAATTTTTGTTGTTCAATTTGAATTCTCATGTTGTTGTTTTAGTGTTCTTTTATTTTATAGTTCATAATCATCTAATCTTGCATGATTTAGAGTTAGAAATCCACCTTAAAGTCATGCTTTCAATTTTTTTTTTCTTTTTTTACATTCTGTGATAACCTTTTATTTAAACCTTGCAATTTTATTTCACAATTTGTTCTTCGAATTTGTTTTTACTTTAGTTCTTTACTTGATCTTGCGATTTTAAGTATGAATCCATTGGCTTTATTGCCAATTAAATCTCATTTTAATTGTTGAGTTACAGTTTGTCTAGATTGGCTTTGTATTTTTGGGTTTGCAAGGTTAGTTGCATTTTACATTTTCATCACTTCAATTTCAATTCAATCTTGATTTTACTTTGATTTATCTATTGTATTTTACATTTGTTTTAGTATGCATTGTACTTATTGTTCTTGTTCATTTGTTCATTTACTTAGTATTACATTTTTCATATTTTATTTGCTTTTATTTTCGTAGTTAGTTTTATTTTAATTTGGTGATTGAGCCAACTATAAAAAGGTAGGGTGATAATAGATATTTAGTAAATTTCTTTATCTAATCTCTATGAGACAATATCTTGACTAAAATGTCATTAGTATCACTTGTACGTCTGAACACTTACAATCAAAATGTATATGTGAAAACATATGAAAAATAAATTAAACACAAAATTTTTTCAAACTTTAAAAACATATTCCACATTGTTCTTCCTTGAAAACTAACCAAAAAACCACCAAAAATCAACAAAATAACCTACTAAACTAACATTTTTTGCATAGAAATTAAATAAAACAAATATGAAACAAAACAAAATTTGCTACAAAATGAAGAGCAAAGTTCAATTATATTAATAATCACCATGGCTGAAACTTTCATTTCATTTTCATCATACGATCATCACTTCATTCAAGCCAAATATGCACGAAACATCCATGAAACCATACTACAATAACATTTTAATCATGTAAGGATATTTGATAAACATGTGATAAACTATTATATAAGAAAAAATGAAAATATAAACACAAGCCAAACACCATATACAACTTACTAAGACCAACATCCATTATGCATCAAACAAATAAACCAACAACCAAAGCCTCTATATAGATGATTTAAAGTAAGAAAACACTCAAGACAAGCCAAAATGAGGTTCAACCATGGTGAAAGAATGCTTGGTTGAACCTCCAACTTGGTATCAATGGTGGATTTTGTGTTTTTTGGTCATTTGATTCTTTTAAGTTCAAATCCAACTATGATTTAGTTGGTTGAATTTTGAACCAAGATTGAATACAAACTATAATCTTTCAAAAAAAAAAAAAAAAAGAAAACTAATATGAAAATGTTATGAAAAGATATTGGGAATGTAATGGAATGCAAGAAAAGAGAATAGAAATTCTACATTCTTCTAGGCCTTTTTCAACATTCTTTTTTTTTTTTCATGTTTTTTGTTTGGTTTCTCTCTTCCTTTGTTTTTTTGCATTTTTCCCCAACTCCCTTCCTTTGTTTCTCAACGTTTCCCACCCAAGAAGAAGATGAAAATATCCCTTACAATTGAATTTTAGCCCTTAAATTGTAAAAGCATCCATTGGTCCAAAATAGTCCCTTGTTTTGATTGCAAAGAGCTAGTTTTTGCCATTGAATCAAGCTCCCTAATGTCATTTTAAGGTCTAGAATGTGCATTGCCAAATCTTAGATTTTTAATGTTGTTTGGTTCAAATGAAAATACCATTGTGCCCAAATTATGAAGTTTTTAGTTTGTAGTCCATTTTCTTGGGAAAGAATGCTACTTTCTCTATTTTTGTGATTTTAAAGCACAAAAAATCATGAAATAATGTGAAATTAAATTACAAAAATTTTTGTGAAAATCCAAAAATCATCAAATAATACAAAAAATTATCTAAAAAGTTTTGGAAAAAAAAACCTAGGAAAGGTCAAATTACAAATATCCCTAAAAGGTATTTTAATGATTCCACACCTTTTAAGGTACAACCAAGGTTTTCAATATTCCAAAAATTATTGAATAGTATAAAATCATAATCTTGAGCTTTTCACAAAATTCAAACCTTGAAAATGTCAATTTAGGAAAATACCCTTAAAAAGTATTTTTGTAATTTCACACATCCAAAAGTGTGATATGGATTTTTAATGTATCAAAAATCATTAAAAGAATTCAATTATGATTCAAAAATTTTCATGAAAATTCAACTTTGGAAAGGTTAAACTATGAAAATACTCTCATGGATATTTTGATAATTTTACACTTTTCAAAATGCAATTAAAGTTTTTAGTGCTTTAAAAATCACAAATTTCAATTTAAAACCAATTGGTTGTGAATTGTAAAAGTTGACCTGAATTCTAACCATTTTGACCCTTTTTTTACCAAGTTTGATTTTGTTTGATCAAATTTGACTAAGTTTGACCTAAAGGGCATTTAGGTTAAATTGGTCCCAATTTTAATTTTTTAAAACTTGTCAAACTTGAAGAAATGATGGAATTGAATTATGTTGGATTTTGAGAGCTTCACAAATTGTCAGATTTTGCTATAACAAAATTAGGTCTTTACAGTTGGGCCTTTTTGCATAGTTTTTAAAATCAGAAATAATGCAAAGACTAAAAACACCAATTTTTTCCTAGAGCTTGGGCGAGAGGGTTTTACTTGTGTGTTGTTGGTTTTTTTGCATGTTAGAGATTTTTTTTTTTTTTGAAATGGCTCCTATGAAAATATGTAACAAACTTTAAAATTTCTTTTTGAAAATGGTTTCTATGAAGATAGAGGGCAAACTTTAAATTTTATTTTTTTGAAAATGACTCATATGAAGATAGCCAACAAATTTTAAATTTTTTTTTTTAAATGGCTCTTATAAAGATAAGCAACAAACTTTTTAAAAAATCTCTTTTTAAAAAAAGTTTCGATGAAGATAGGCAATAAACTTTAAAAATCTCTTTTTGAAAAGGGTTCCTATGAAGATAAACAATAAATTTTTTTTTTTTTTTGAAATGAACTCCTATGAAAATAGGCAATAAATTTAAAAAAAATTTCCTTTTGAAAAGGGCTTATATAGAGATAGGCAAGTGACTTTAAAAATCTTTTTTTGAAAAGTACTCCTATAGACATACACAAGTAACTTTAAAAATCATTATTTGAAAAGTGCTCTTGTAAAGATAGGCAACGGATTTCATTTTAAAAAGGGTTCTTATGAAGATAGGCATGTGACTTTTAAAAATTTCTCTTATGAAGATAGGCAACGAACTTTATAAATCTCATTTTGAAAAGGCTCCTATAAAGATAGACAACAAACTTTGAAAATTTCTCTTTAGAAAAGGTTGGTTGTGTCTGGGGCTTGGTAAAGGATTTTTTTCTTCTTTAAAGGATTTTTTCTTTTCTTTGGTTTCTTCTTGAGAAGTATTCATTCTTCAAATGTGTTTGTTTTCTCTTAGAAAACAAGTTAATTTTGTATATAATGTATGTGATGAATGCAAGGAACACAATATGTAGGAAAACAATTTTGTTCACATTATGCACTTGTACTTGGTTTTTTTGTTTTTGTTTTTGTTTTTTTTTTCTTTAAGAGATATTTAAAAATAAATCTAAATAAAAACTTGGATATCACCATCAAAAAATGATTTGACTTCAAATATCACCATAAAAGAGACATTAGAGATCACTACTGAGAAAAAATGACTTTGGATATCACGAACAAAGAGGAATGCAAATTCAAACTTGGATACTCAAATATCATCACTGAGTAAAGGCAAGTGACTTTGAATTTCATCACCTAAGGGTACTCGAATATCATCATTAAAGAGAAATGAAAATTCAAACCTAGATACTCGAATATCACCATATCGTAAAAGACTTCTAATTCACCACCAAAGAAGAGTACTTGGATATCGCCATTGAGTGAATCTTGAAAAAGTTAGGATATCATCACTGAGTAAATTTTTAAGAAATTTCAACTTGAATATTTAGATATTATCACCAAAAAATGTTAAAAGTATTCAAACATGAATACTTGGATATTACCATTAAGTGATTTTGAAAATTTTCAAATATCACTATCGGGAGCGTTTTAAT